TTTAAAAAAAATTAAAAAAATAAATGAACCAATCCGTCAACTCGTAAGTTGACCTTAAGTAGACCTGTGACTTAGATATTACAAATTATCTTCAAATTGTGAGTTGAAATACCATATTCAAATATGTTTTTACAGGTTGGATTACGGCCAAGTTGAGAGTACAGGTGGGTTGACAGTTCAGGTGAATTTTTGCCACCCCTAGTTTCGTGGCATTTGAAGCCTAAGAAACCCCCCCTCCTTGCTCGTCGGTAACCACATGAGAGTGTCCGTCTCCCTGTTCGGTTTAGTACCAGAAAGTATGGAACTTTTCAATCCTTGAAGACGCCGACAACGACTGCAACGACGCCGGAGAAGTCAAATTATGAGTCAAGCTGAGAGTGAGAAGCACAATTGAAGATCAAAACCCCCACGAATTTAGCAACGGAGATAAGCTGAGTTTAAAGCATCCCCAGAAGATCAAATGTCGGTCCAGGATCGTGCAGTGCCAAAATTACCGAAATCGTCGAAATCCCAGATTAGAGCTCTTCCCACGATAAACCGGAAACACCACCGTATCTTCGAGGCCAAAAGCCTTGACCTTTCGACGTGGGTTTCTGATAATTTCTACAAAATTGTTACAAGATGTATCCTAATCTTCACTGTTGCAGCCGTCTTCTTCCTCTACAACTCCACCGAAACGGTTTCTTTCCCCCGGCTCCAGTTTAAGACGCAGCAGTCTCTTGATTCCATCTCTCTCCCTCAAATCAAGTGGAATTTGATCGCAACCATTAGTGATAAGTCATCTCCTTACGCTAATTTTCGATTAGAGCAATGGATTGTGGTGTCTGTGTCTGATTATCCGTCTGATTCGTTGAAGAAGATGGTCAAGACTCAAGATTGGAGGATGGCAGCTGTTGGCAATTGGGAATTCCAGGACGCCCAAGGATGGGAGCTTGAGAGGTGCCATTTTTTTTGTCTTAGATGAGCAAGCTAATTTGGGGGTCCGTGTTGTGGATTACTGATCGTATGATTCTTATGTTAGGAAGAGTGTGGGTTATTTGTTCGCTATCCAACATGGTGCAAAGAAGATCTTTGATTGTGATGATCTTGGGGATTGGAGATGTGATTGGTGATGATTTAGGGCAGCATTTTGATGTAGAATTGGTGGGGGAGGGAGCTAGGCAGAGTCTATATTGCAATATAGTCATGATAAGCCTAATAGGACTGTAGTGAACCCGTATATCCATTTTGGGCAAAGGTCAGTTTGGCCTAGGGGATTGCCACTGGAGAATGTAGGTGAAATTGGGCACGAGGAGTTTTACACTAAGGTCTTTGGTGGCAAGTAGTGTATACAAGAAGGGATTTCCAATGGGTTACCTGATGTTGATTCTGTGTTTTATTTTACCAGAAAGTCGGGTTTGGAAGCATTTGATATTAGATTTGATGAGCATGCACCAAAAGTGGCATTACCACAAGGTATGACGGTGCCGGTGAATTGATTTAATACCATGTATCATTCATCAGCATTTTGGGCTTTGATGCTTCCTCTTTCTGTTAGCACCATGGCTTCTGATGTTTTGAGGGGTTACTGGGGACAGAGGCTTTTGTGGGAGATTGGTGGTTATGTTGTTGTTTATCCACCCACAATTCATAGGTATGATAGAATTGAGGCATATCCATTTTCAGAGGAGAAGGATTTTCATGCGAATGTAGGTCGTTTGATCAAATCTCCGGTATCATGGAGGTCAAACAAGTATGGATTGTTTGACAAGATATTGGAATTAAGCTATGCTATAGCAGAAGAGGGGTTTTGGATCGAGAAGGATCTCAAGTTCACTGCTGCTTGCCTTCAGGACTTGCTTGCTGTGGGGTATCAGCAGCCAAAGCTGATGTCATTGGAATTGGATATGGGCAAATATTGGTCATGGTGATTGTAGGGAATTTGATTGGATTCATCCCACCCATCAGATTTTTTCAATTCCAATGGCTGGGATGATCAAACTATTGTGTGACGTGAACCAATGAAATCGCCACAGCATATGACACGTCGGAGGTTCAGATCCAGATGAGAGAGAGAGTACATTCTAAGGGCTTTGCTTTTGTTAGGGCTGTCACCGAGGACCCAACGAATCGTCACTTCAGGGAAGCCACCGCCAGAGAGCAACTTCAGAATCCCTTCGGCGGCGCACGTGATTTGAACCTTCGCGCTTCTTCATTAACTTCTCGAGATTTGCTGCCAGTTTTTCTCAACTCCGACGGAGTGTTTGCTCATGCGCTTAAGATCACGCTAGAGCTGCTTAACAAGCAAAGTAATCAATACTGTACTGACATGTATACCAATTTTGTTATTAGAACGGTACGTACCGAATGTCGAAATTTTTCACGTACCATTCTAGATTTATCGTTATAAAAAAATTTATGAAAAATTTTGGGGAGAAGTTGAAGAAAAAAAAACAAGAAAAGGACTCAATTAAAAAAATTAAAAAGTTGAGGATGAAATTTACTAAATTAAACTCATAAATCCAGCTCAATATTAAGCAACCCATCAAAACCCAAATTTAACAAAACCCTAGTTTCCTCTCTTTTAAAGGGAGAAGGAGGAGGTGCAGTTGCTAAACAAAATAAAAAAAAAGAGGAGAAAACAGAAAAAAAAACTTGATTTTTCTCCCTTCTGCAGATCCACCATCGCCACCATCACCTCCATTCTTTCATCTTGGATCTTCACCATCCCCTTGCTGATCATCACTCTCATCACCATCACCCTCACCCTCACCCTCACCAATCACCAAGCAGCCATAATAAAATAAAAAATAAAAAAAAAAAGAAACCAAAGAAGACGAAGCAGATCTAGACGCAAGCCCCCTTGGGGACTCCGATCTTGACAATCTTCTTGCATCTCATCATCATCACAGCCTCCACCTTCATCACCGGTAATCACCAAAGCAGAAGGGTTCGACAGCCACCA